ACACCTGGCCCGCCCCTGTCTCTCATCCATTGACTACAACTACATTAATTCTCCTTTTCCCACCCCCTCCCACCTGTCTCTCACCTAGTGACCACCTCAATTTACATTTTAACTGATTGGCTTTCTTGCATATGTACTGGCCTATGGCTGCTTTACCACTCCATCCAGGAAGAGCACAGACCAACTGCAGATGCTTCCTCAGCCTGATGAAGGGTATTTGTACCCAAAAACTTGCAAAGAAGACTTTTCCCAACTATTTGAGTTGGTCTAATAAAAGATATCTGATTTACCCAAAGAGCCTTGACTGCCTATGTCCTTAAATCAACATAGCCACAACCTACACCCCAGTCGCATCAACAAGCATCTGTTAGGATTAACTTCCAGTACATCCAACTGATCCCAACACTTTAATGTACTCCAAACTTTTTCCAGAGGAAGAACTATCCAGTATCCTTTGTTCTGAAGAACAGACTCAATGATCTACTGTTTAATATAATTTCTATTTAAATCTATTTTAATTATACATTGAAAGTGAGTGTCATGTTATATACTGCAGTATAAAATCAGGCCATCTGTGCTTGTGTGCCAGTGTAAAGCATACAGAACTTGGCGCACAAATTCTTTCTCTCTCCTTTTTTTTGGCTAAATGGACTATTAAAGAAACAATTATTTTACTGTACAAAGGCAAAAGGCTTTTCCATTTCCTTTTGTGCTGATAGATGCAGATTTGGGGTGTTAAATTACAGACAGTGTTTGCCCTGCTCCTCTCTCCCCAGCACCCTGGTAAGACTCAGAGCATCAGAGACACTCTCTTAATCAAATAAAATGGGGAGATCTAATATTTTCTTCAGGCACTGCTGCCTATTCATGTTACACGTAGAGAAAAAGGCCCTTTTATTTCAATGGAAGCAGAGTTAGCTCAACACTGAGCCATTTAGAAAGCCTCATCCTAAGTGACTGTTCTTCCTGTATGATAAAGCTAAACACATGTTTTCTCCCTATCCTTGGATTCCAATAATCTGTATACACCCTCACTACTGCCCTCCATTTCAAAAGCTGCTCCTATTTCTTTGTAGCAGTGGGATGTACAGTTTGAGCCATCTCTAATTCTAGATCATCACCTTGTATCCATGAAAGCTGTGAAAGGGTCAAATCTGCTAATAGAAGTAACACTCCCATTATGCAGTCTATGCAGTCCCAGGTCTTTGTATTGTCTTCCTTGATCCTGGGGGTGGGGGGTGGGGGAGTGTCACTGGCTCTCTTCTGAAGCCCTGGGGATCTCTGTCCTCATTGTCCAGACTGTTCTTTTTTATCTGAGCCTCTCATAAGGAAGTGAATCAATATGCCCCCTTTAGTCAGTCGTCTTGATCTGTGTCACTGGAGAATGATACAAGCCACTCCTAAGGTCACTGTGGACTGCATTCACCGTGTTCCTAACTGGCACTGTACTAAGAGGTGAAAGGATTGAAGCTACAGGTCCCATAAAAGTCTTTGTGTCCCCAGCCTTGAGTTGGTCTAATAAAAGATATCAGATTTACCCAACAAAACTTTTCTGCCTATGTCCTTACAACAGCATGGCTACAACCTATACTTCGTGTCTCCAGTACCTTTTAACTGACAGATAGGTTCACTGTCTTTAGTTGCAGTACAAGCTCTTCAGCCATGGCTCTGTCCACTGCTGGCATGGAGCCTTTAGACAACATCTCCCATCCACCTTTCAGAGTCAGGTGCTGAGCAGTTTAAAATTTACGAAGGCATGTTGAGCTCATATTGCTGAGACATGCCTGGGTCGCTGCAACACAACAGGGAGCTTGTGAGTCTATGCACCCTGTTCTGATCAGGAAAAGAATGAACCTGCTGCTGCTCATTGGCTTAGCCTACATATTCTCAGACTTGCACAGCAAGCGCTGTAACCCACCACTGCCCAGGGGACACCCCATATATTTTTTTAGCTTTTCATGACAGACACTCTATCTCCCCCTGGAGGGCTGACTCAGCTCATTTATCAAAAACGATACATAATTGTTTCCTCCCACTAAGGAAAGCTTCCATTTAGCTTTTGATTTTTTTTACTTATTAATTATCTAATTACAACCACATTCTGCAGAAGAGTTCAAGAGTTGAGTTGCTGCCTAGAACTACTTAAGAAAGCTTAAATGCATGGTGTGTGCTAACAGAAGTGGCTTGTATACATGTGTGCCAGTGGACACCAGACAAGGCTTTTTATGCACAGGTAT